ATGAATAATAATACTTAATATCTTATTTAAACGCCTTTCGGGGCTTATATTCTAAGAGGTAGATAAGTCTATATCTTAAAATGGGGTCTCGATAGAGAAATTACCCGCTATAAGACACGCTAAGTTATTTAAGAATTTAAATAATAAAAGAGCCGTAACTATTATAACACTTTCGCGTTGATGGTAAAGCTTATAAGCTATAAGGCGATCTTCGCATTTATAGCCGCTCTGAATTGGGATCTAAAGTAAATAAACGTTAAAACTGCCTTTCTATACGGTAACGTAAAAAAAGAGATTTATATACGCTAATTTGATGACTTTAGTAAAGATAATATCAAGGTCTATAAGCTAAATAAGGCACTTTATAATCTAAAGTAGTCCCCTCGAGTCTAATATTAGTATTTCTCGAAGTATATAAAGGAATTAAGCCTTCTCCCTATTGAATTGAATGATAGCGTGTTTATAGACTCTAAGGAGAGTACTATTATAACGCTCTATATCGACGATATCTTAATTACCAACCCAAGTAAAGTCGGGATTTAGCGAATTAAGAAGGGACTTAACGCGAAGTTTTATATATCGAATTTAAGATTATATATCTACTACTTGGGTATAATCGTTAAGAGGAATCGTCGTAGTAATATCCTTCGCCTAGGATAAGAGGCTTACGTTACTCGGTTCTTAAATCATTTTAACTATTAAAACCTCACCCCGGCATCAACACCCCTCGAAACCAACCGCAAACTGGCTCCCGCCGAAGAGGGCTATATCGCCCCAAAGAAATTATAAGAAAAACTATTAATCCGCGGTGAGATCTCTTATATATACTATACTCGGTACCCGTCCCAACATCGCCTACGCGGTATTATTAGTAAGTCGCTACTCAGTTAACTCGACTCTAGCGCACTAAAATACGATTATTTAAATCTTTCGATATCTAAGAAGTATAGTGCACTACGAACTCGTGTATAAAGGCTCCCTTTAAGAACTTATCGGTTATATCGATTCTAATTAAGCTAGCGATATAACTCGAAGATCTATATCTAACTATCTCTTTAATATAGAGAGCGACGCGATTAGTTAATTATTTAAGCGTTAAGCTATTGTAATATTATTCACTTATAAGATAGAGTATATCGATTAGACGCAGGCTATTAAAGAAGCGATCTAGCTAAAGAATCTACTTAATTAACTTCTTCGCCCCGACGATGTGAACCCTAAAGCTATTATTATTTTCGGTGATAATTAGGGCGTAATTGCCCTCGTAAAGAACGCTTAGTTCTATACTCGCACTAAGCACATTGACATTGCCCACCATTTCGTGCGGGAAAAGGTTAATAATAGCACTATAGACATGCGGTATGTTCCCACTGATAAACAGATGGCTGATGGGCTTACCAAGGCCCTTTGCTTAAATAAATTCGTTGCTTTTCGGGATGCCCTTGGGGTGAAAGCTGTATCTACTCACCCCCTCGGCAGCCGATAACCTTACTGCTATCTCAGTATAGCCTCAGTTTAATGATGTCTAGCAGGGGAGCCATTCTATTACATCTACACCTGGATTTAAGGGAGCCGCCTGTTACCGACTACTCCAAGGGAGCCATTTCATTGGTCCCCGCACTACGGATAATCTATCCGAGCCGCCCGCCGAGCCGCCATATCAGACTTGGCACTCAGCGAACTCGCTATTCCACACCGGAACAGCTATTTCTTCAGCGCTATTGCCACTATCGCTACCAAACTTCCAGGGCTCTTTCGAGAGACTTATACCTATTCGTCACCAATGCCTCGGGTATTGCACCTCGAATTTGCCGCCGCCAGCCACTATTACCAAGAACCAGTCACCTGGAACGGCCTAGGATTTCTTCCAATTATTTCATTCAGCCACCCCCACATATATCCTCCGGCCTCAAATCGGTCGATTTTTGGTGTGCACCAGATGGCCTGGAAATAAAATTTCCAAAAAACCGCTTTTTGACAAAAAGTGGAATTTGGGTCGAATTTTGGTGGGGGACTGGTCTGACATAGTCGTTTTCAGATTTCGACTTTTCACTTTACCTACCCCGTTTTGGACGTTACGAACTTTAAATCTCGTGTTTTTTAATTTCGTCCACATAGGGGGGGATAGGGGTATAGAAGGTGTAAGGGGTGTGCTTTCACGCTAGCTACCCGGCACTAACTCACCTTAGTTATCCGGCTCGGATTTCACCTCAATCACCCGGCGCTAACTCACTTTAATAACCCGGCGAAAATCGACCAAGTCATTTCACCTTACCTACCCGGTTTTGATACCGTCAGCATTAAACTTCGTGTTTATTCGGTTTCGCCTATGAGAGGATACGTGCGAAGGGGAGTGTTGAAATTCGGATCACGTGACTCTTGGCGTCTTGGCGGTCACGTGACATGGTCACGTGACACGCCTTAGCGTGTCCGTATCTAGTCGCTCTTTCCTCCATAGTAACTCTATAGTTAACAACTAAGTGTCTTACCTCATATTTCCACAAGATCTTGGTAACTTGGAGATGCTGATTGGCGGAAGAATGACACTCCTGCTAATTATGAAATGATAATGGCGGTGGTAAGCTTGCTCGCCTGGACCGGACAGCATCCGAATTACCAACAGCTATCGACCCTGTCTAGTCCCCGCACTTCCAATCAAACAAAAAACCTTAACATTCGAGTACCTACCCTGAGAATCAGTTTCCCGCTCCTTGACAACATGTCGAATGTCGAACGACGTGGTCCTTTTTGAACCATACCCAATTGCATCAGAATGCATCTTCTGTCTTTACTCCTCTGCCCTGTTCTGTTCGCGGTGCAGCACTTTGCAGCTCCTGCTTCTTATGTCCCTAATGATCCAAGCACATCGTTCGGTGCATCCGGCGTCGACGCGACCTACGACTACATAATCGTCGGAGGAGGAACGGCTGGCTTAGCTGTCGCATCTCGGCTGGCCGAGAATCCCAACATCACCGTCGCAGTTATCGAAGCTGGCGGGTTCTATGAAGCTGACGATGGCAACATCACCGTTGTGCCCGGATATTGCACCGTGTATGCGGGAACAGCGCCTAACGACACAGATCCCCTTGTGGACTGGGGCTTCGTTACCACGCCACAATCTGTAGGCTATGAGACTCGGGAAATGCCATAACAATGACCGTCGCTGATAGTCGCATATGCAGGGTGCGAATAATCGAAGCCTGCACTACGCGCGTGGCAAAACACTGGGAGGATCCTCTGCTCGGAATTTCATGTACTACCACAGGCAGACACTGGGGTCCTCGGAGAAGTGGGCAAAAGAGACTGGCGACAGCAGCTACACCTTCCCCAACCTCCTACCCTTCTACGAAAAGAGTGTAAATTTTACCGCCCGCTCGGTTGCATATCCCAACAGCTCCAACGTCCAAGATCCGTCAGTGTTCAACCCGACCGGTGGTCCATTGCAGGTCTCCTTCGGCGACTATGATGACCCTTGGGGAACATGGGCGCAAGTGGGACTTCAAGCGGTGGGGCAGGCGCCGATTGATGGCTTTCAAAGTGGAAAATTGATAGGCTCTGCCTACGTTCCTTCCACTATTGACCCTACAACGGCGACAAGATCATCTTCCGAGGCCAGTTTCTTGCAATCTGCGCTGAAAAACACGACTCTCAAGGTCTACAACAATACCCTCGCACAAAAGATCCTCTTTGACAAAAGGACGGCCACAGGTGTCCTCGTCGCCCCAGAAGGTGTTTCGGGGGTTAATGGCAGCTCGTACACACTGAGCGCCCGAAATGAAGTCATCATCTCAGCAGGTGTCTTCCAGTCTCCGCAACTCCTCATGGTCTCGGGCATTGGGCCGCAAGAGACACTCAAAAGCTTGGGAATACCTATAGTCAAGTCTCTCGCAGGCGTCGGTCAAAATCTCTGGGACCACGTCTTTTGGGGCACGTCTTACCCCGTGAATTTAGTCACCAACTCCGCGGGTCTCAACAGCCCCGCCGCCGCCGCTGCCGGCATTGAAGCCTATCAAACCATGCACGCTGGTCCCCTCACCATTGGTGGCATCGAGGTGCTGGGATGGGAGAAACTACCTGAGCAATATCGGAGCCAGCTTTCCCACGCTACTCAGAAAGCTCTCAACGACACTTTCCCAGCTGACTGGCCGGATCTCGAATTCCTCCCTGCCAGCGGTGTGTTGGGATATCAGAGGAACTATGCGACCGAGGACCCAGAAGATGGGTATAACTACGCTACGGTGGCGACGGCGCTCGTTTCGCCCCTGAGCAGGGGCAACGTCACAATCAATAGCACCAGCATGGCCGATCCCCCCCTGATCAACCCGAATTATCTCAGCCATCCCGGCGATGTCGAGGTGGCCATTGCAGCATTCAAGCGCCAGAGGCAGGTTTGGGCCAATGTTAGTAAAATAACTGTTGGGCCGGAGAAGATCCCTGGCATGTCTGTGCAGACCGATGCTGAGATATTGGAGTTCATCAAAGAAGCATTGGCGCCGGTATGGCATGCGGCTGCGACATGCAAGATGGGGCCTAAGAGCGACTCAAAGGCCGTTGTGGGACATGACATGAAGGTGCACGGGATTCAGAGGTTGAGAGTGGTGGATGCAAGCAGTTTTCCCTTCTTGCCGCCGGGGCATCCGCAGGCTACAATCTACGCCGTCGCGGAGAAGCTGGCGAGTGAAATATTGGCTGCGTTGGCCAAGAAGGCGAAAAGGTCTGAAAGCATGGTTGAGACAGTGTAAATAGTGTTTAATATCTACATATAGAACTCGCACGTACATGTTCATCCAGGAAAGCTGCCTTGTTATTGGAATAGGCTTTTTATCCAACCATACTGTGTCTAATGAAGAAAAAACCAAAATATAACACTCGAGAAGCTCAGCCTCACGACAACGGCATCCGACGTCATGGATCCGCAGGTGCCCACTGAGCATCCAGCCTTTGACTCCGCAGCGCCTTTGCTGGCCCTCCTAGTTCCCGGGTTGGATGCGCCTCGCTCGTCAAAAATTATCGGCCTCATCATAATGCTGCTCAACAGTCTGCCCCTTCGGGATCCCCCTTGATACCTGCGGCACATCGCCACTGGGCATTCTCACCGCATGTGTCGTTAGACTGCCATGCTCTAGCGTTCCATTCTCCTCGTCTAACCTCGCAAAACCCGCAGCGTTGCTAACATCCGTTGATGGACTGAATCCTGGTCTCGAACTTAAATGACTAAGCCCAATGGCGGCACCGGAGCGCGAATTTGTGTTTTTGGAGTTGAAAACGTAGGTGGATTTAATCGTGAAAAGGCCAAAGCGGGAGAGAAGAGGCCGGAGCGTAGGCAGGCAGGCGCAGATTATGCCAAGGGATTGCTCCACTACGGTCCAGATTACGGCGGTCGTAATGGTATACTCGAAATCGTCGAAGTTTGCCAGGTTGAAGGCCCAGACGCGAACAATGGAAGCAACACAAGCGCTGTGGGTCGAACGATATGTCAGCTTAGTTCACTTCTGTCTGATATTTTCAAAGGCGGGGACAACGAACGTAAGAGGATACGTACAGTGTACCGAGCAGGAATACGCCAGAGAGAATAATTTTCGACCTGGTATCCAAGTTCAACCGCCAGACCATCATCATCGGCAATACCAAAATCGAGAAGTCGATAAGGAGGTTCGCAACTCCATTCCATCGGTAGAAAGCGTCTTGGTCAATGCAACTGCCCCCTTTTATCGCTTTATCCCAATAGTATGCAATTGGACTGCACTCAAATACTGCGACAAGAGTGTCTGCCACAAAGTAGGCAAGCACTATCAGCCACATGACCGCCAATATCAATCGAAACCATCGAACCACACCGAAAAGCCGGTAGTATAGGAGGATGAGAGATGTCTTGATGGCGCAGGCAGTGGCGAAGTATAGGATTTGGAGCGCTAATTGAGACTTTTCGGGCAGGAACGTCAGATGGAGGATCTCTGTAAAGTTCTAGGCCAGTAGCTGGGCTTACTTTGAAAAAGATGATAAGGTCGCCCTCGGTAACAGGACCGCCATATGCCTGAGTATGACGGCCAAAGTTGCAAATTCGGATTGGGACCCAGTAACAGACGCAGAGCCCAAAGTCCAGAATCTGAGGCACTGTAAGGCCAGGAGCTTGTCTCTGGGAGTAACTGTGCGGGACGATTTCGTATATCTCACCAGCGCAAGGACAATGGTATAGTCATCCCACCAGAAGGTCGCGGCCGAAATGCTCCTGGCAGCGAACCGTGCTACGACAGCAATGGTCTGCAGAACTGCCAATGTAATTGTGGCAGCGTAAAGGCCTGGCACGCGAGTCTGGTCATAGGCATTGCTGTTGCTGCCATTGCCAGACATTATGCCCCGGATGCTGTCGTCGCAAGTTTCTGTGGGGAAAGAAGGGCAGCTTCGACGGAAGGCATACCGTAATGGCCCAAAAGGGGCACCAAAGTCAAAGCCTCGTGCTCATGACGGACTGTGCATGCTCTAGGAACGGCCAGGGGAAGCCGGGAAGGGAAAGTCAGTTCCGTTGGCGTTGCATTCTCATTCCGTGACACGAGACACCCCTGTTGTTGTAGTACAGTTGGCGTCGTCTAAGTAAGTTCGAATGTTGGACACTTGGAGATCCAAATTATGGTCGCCTGTGAGCCTCGCACTCACCCCACCATTACTATTACTACCACTAGGGTGAGAGCTTGGAGGGAGGGTAATCTTGACCGAGCCGATGATAAACCCAGCGTGATCATTTGTCCTTTTCCTTAGTGGATTTTCAAGTCAACCTCAAATTTCCTAGATCCTTGAGGTTCGTCGCAGTAGCAATTATTAACGTTACTAGCAGCTAAAAGGCGCTTTTTATACACTTTTCATTTCCTCTAGTTAACCTTCCTTTGATCTAAGAATCTTTCGATACTCAAGCCGGTTTTTAATGCTGGGCCAGTAAGCGAACCCTAGATACACCCAAGTCCCGATATCTGAACAGTAATAGCAGCTGTGACAGAACTTTCTATACGAAACCTGTAGCACTCGATCGCGTGAATAAGTCTTACAGCAGGATTATTCCTCAATATCTAGCCAAAAGAAAGTTATCAGAGCATGAATAGGTTCGGGTGATCTTCGGCCGACCCAACATTAAAAACCGTCTTGAGTACGATATTTGTTTTAAATAAACGCCGCACGGGCGCTAAGCAATCCGAGATGCGATGATGATGCTACGATCTTTCTGACTCTGATGCTTATTATGTAAGTCTCGAAGCCGTATCATAGAGACTATTTCACAAATGTTTCGACAATTGAATTCTACTTAATAGATTATTCTTCGAGATCAACAAGAAAACAGATCACATCTCCAAATCTCGCTTCAAGGCTGAGATCGTCGGGGTTTTTCGAAGAAACCTTTCAAATTCACTTTGACCCCACTCAGACCTCGAACCCGGACGAGGTTCCCCACCCCGTTGCGCAGCGTAAACCGTAAATTATGGTATTATCGAGTGAACGCCAGGTTAGAATACACAAACCCTGTCTTTCACAACACTGTCAACATACTATGCTTCATTTAAGCATCACCCTGACTGCCGCTTAGGAACTTGTGATTAGGGAATTTGTAATCCCCATCCGCTTCTGAACCGAGTTTACTCGATCTAATAAATGTTCGCATGCCAGACATTGTAGCTGAAGGGACTGTTGGAAGATCGTTCAGGTCATGAATACCCTCAGACAGCTTATCCCGGTTTCTCAGTCTTGCCACCGTCGAGGAATACCATGGTCTGACTTTCTTGGACCTGGCTCTCCGGTCGTTCGAGGCGAAGACTGAGCGAAAAGCACAAACAGACACCATACACACGGCAACACACGCCTCGACCTCAAGCCAAAAATACTCCCAGCTTTGAAGGATGTTGGCATGAGTGTGAGTACCGGAAAGTCGCACACACGCAACCGTTATCATGCAGGTGCTGAGACAGAGGAAGGCTCCAATACCCAACTTCTGACCCGGCTTCATTCTCACCTTCCAGAGAATGTACACCGGGATACTGACTACTGCAAGCAGCCATACTCAATTAGCCTTGCCTTGTGTCATGAAGCAGATTTACACATACTTAGGATGTCAGTCAGAACGTCGAGTGCTATCGCGAATCCAATAATGAAAGCCAGTCTTTGGGAGCCCGAGCCTGTCAGACATTGCACTACATATCAATCAATATTATCTGAGAGTCTCTGAGATCGACACCACCACTCACAAGTATCATCACTAGATCCTAAGCAACCGAGGAAATTACAGGCAACACAATACACAAACGCAAGCATGTTTGTTGCGACGACCACTCTCCAATACAGAAAAAGTCTCGGTAGGCGGTCGGTTAAGGGGCGAAAGAAGCATAAAAACGAGAATTTCACCGCAAAGATGGTGAGCCAAGCCAAGGATGCCCGAATATATTGGGCTTTCCGGTATCTTGAGACCACTGCACCCAAATCCACGCTCGCTGGTGATACTGTCGATCCTTCCCGCAATTGGCCACTCAGAATAGCCGTTGCGGTATATGTAGTCGATGTGTAATAGAGAACAGTGGCAAACATTGCAGTGAGTGCCAAGCAGGCGACGAACAAGAACGCGTCGTCTGCGAACAGCCTCCGGTGAAATTTAATTCGGATTGCTGTTCGCGCGGAGGCCGTGATTATCGCCGCGGCGAAAAGGAGCTCAGTCGTTGTCTGTTTGACATCAGTTTCTCTTACAGTACAGAAGCTTTGACACGCGCAAATGACCTCTACACCCACTCTTGGGTAAATCTGTCTGGCGTTCGCCATCTTGGTGCTGCCAAGAATCAATTGGTGATGGTTCCGACTCAAAATATTCCCAGTCTGACTGTGTCGATCTGGCTCAAGCTTTTCCGAAGCAAAGTTTTCAGCTAAAGAAAAATCGATTTTAAGACTCATGCTCTTGAGGCGCATGCTGAGGACTACGTCAGGATCTCCAGGTGGTGTATTGCTCTTAAGATTCATTGGATGCGCTGCTCCTGGCCTTGGCAATCCTTCAGCATGTTCGGTATCCTATCGATCTCCGAGCCGAACATTCCCGGAGTTCTCCGTGTCCTGCTTATGCTGAGGAACCCGGATGAGGGAGATACGCAAGTAGGGCGACATCTCGCCGGTGACTGCAGTTCTGGAAATACTCTGTGATACCATCGAATCTTTCCACATTCTGCCATCACCTTTGCACCACATGGTCTGCGATTGCGACAGAGAGCATCACATAGATACGCAGGAGATAAAATACAGGAGTAGAAACCGATAACGTCGCGTTCATTCTCGGTATACGATCGTCGAGCTACGGGGTCAAAACATAAGGGGCTAAGATCCTCACGCCAGCATCAGCAGTATCGACAAAACCTCACCGGAGAGCTGCCGCACTCCTACCTCATCTATCCAGATTGTGCGCGTTACTAATACGCCGCTCCTCGATGGGACGAACGGCGAAACTCTCCTTCTGTCAAGCGAGGTCTTGCTTCAACGATGACGCTATCTTTTTACCAGCGGCATCTCTGGATCCTCCATGCAAAGATTTGCGACTGCATAGCACCCAACGGTATTTGTTCAACTCTATCAACTCCCGACGATTTGTGACTCTTCCCATTCTTGGAAAAGACTAGGTCGTGTCTTACTCTCTTATCCGCACCCACCGCATCCTCCACACCCGCCTCCATCACCCCCTGAACAGTCCCCAGCAGTATCTCCGGATGCAGCGCCCACCCCCGCCGCAAGCGCGAATGTAGATCTGGGGTGGCGGAGGACCTTGACGGTCCGGACCATTAATAGCGCTAGATGTTTCTAACTCTGCCTTCAGCGTTGATAGCCATTACAGATGTGTCATCCCGGTATTCCAAACTGGTACAGACTTCTGTCAGCATCATCACTCAAGCTCGGCGCCGAGTGTCGGGCTATGGTCGAATGGGCCAGGTCGAGGATCCTCTCCTTTACGATATCCACCATGAATGGCAAACTACCGAATCATACCACATTGGGCCATGGATCAGTACTTAGGGGTATGATTCGGTAAGGATTCATTGTTTTGGGGTATGAATCGGTATTTAGCCCGCCGAGTGTCTCTCGGACACCATTACACTAAAAGCTGCAAAGCTTTCTGACCACAGAGTGCATCTGTCTCTTGTCCTGAGACTGGCGGGGATGCTTTACAGCCTGGTTGGCATTGGTACGGTGCTATGTGAAGTCTCTTGAGGTCCTCTGGAACGGCTTCCAGTTGAATCTAGCTGGTGCATTCAAATGGGGATGGTCGAAGCCGTGAGCTTCTCCCGCCAAGATTTTGGTATGCTGTCCGGTGATGCAATTGAATGTTTCCAAATACGCGCAGTCATCTCAGAACACCAGGTCCTCATATCTGGATCTAGATAATGAGTATCTGAAATAGATAAGAAGGTTGTGTTGTCCCAAAGAACGTAGAGATGATGACTGTGCAGTCGATGAACTTCAAAATAGCGAGGGCAGGGCGCATTTCGACCACACACAAGCTTGCTTCATCTTACAAAGCTTTAGTCCCAGGTTAGTAGCCGGGGTCGCGAAATTTTGACCGTTCTTCTTCGCGCAATCACCGCTTGGAAGGTGACTTTCGATGTTTGTGAGCCTTGTTTTTCATTTCAAGGAGCATAGTACTTCTACCCCACGTAGGATTTTCAAGTCCCATGAACTGTAGCTAGTTAAAATGCGCAGACTCTCTCAATCGTGCCTTGTTCGATTGGGGGAAGTGCACGCAACGCCTGACCCGATTGAAAACTCTCCATTGGCCACTGGCGTCACTGTGCGCATGTCCGATCAACTGTAAATTCGGTCTCGAAACCTTGGTACCCAACACGGCTGACCTGCGAGAGCTTATCGTGGGCCCATCCTTCGTAGATGGCCCACTCCTCAACATTCGTTGCGCCGTTCCAGCTCACATAACCTGCAAGACAACTCTTGCCATACCCGTCGACAACAAGGTCGGGACTGGTAGTGGGAAAACCCTGCCACTCGACCTTAAATCCCCGATAGCTCTGCACGAGATTATCCAAGCCAAATCTCCAAGTCCAGCGAACAGTGCCGCCAGTACGGTTGCTAGAGCTAAACTCCTTAATGACGGGGATCTCACCATAGTCCACAAAAATATCGCCATTGGGTAGAAATGTGTTGGAACCTTATGAATCAGGTAAATAGGATCGTTTGGATCGGAGAGATCGTTGATAACCACAGGAGGACTAGACTTGTTTGGTGAAATTGTGAGTTGGAGTGCGAGACCATTGTTTGGGTGAGTATCATTGGCGATGTCCAGGGCGTTGAAGTTGTTGAAGTAAGAAACGGTGATTGAGGTTTCCGTGATTTTATGAGGACGCGCAAAATGTTGCCACCACTGTAAGATTGTCGTTGGATGTCAGCACGTCATCTAAGCGAAAAGCATCCATGTCTGGCATATAGAGTGATTAGAAAGCAGGGAAATAAACACTCATTTGCTCAAAAAATGTCCGTTTGGTGGTAAAGCACCGAAATCGCCACCAGTACCTCCTTGTAGAGTCCACTCTATGTCGCCCTCTGCCGCAATAAGATAGGTGGTCCATAAATGTCGGCTGTTCACCAAGAATTGCTTGCCAATGTTGACGACAGAGTTGATGTGGAAGCAATCGAACGGGACAGATTGATTGAAGCCCCCTCTACCAGCGAAACCCAACTTGGTCTCATTGACAGGAACATGCTCAAGAGCACTCCATCGAAATAAGATGTCCCCACTCTTAGGATCAAGCTCGAAGAATAGGCGGTCAAAACCCCAGCCATTAGATGAACCATCAATCGAGGACAAGTCTGTTCTGTTGCGTTTTAATCTGTAACAAGAAGGGTGTTTCAGTCTGTGACGAAGGGTTTATGGAAATCAGCCTGGCAAGAACATGGAACGTTGTCTGGCGTCAAAAGTCCAAGTTTGGGGTAGGCGTTTAGAATTTCATTATGGGTAGCGTCGAGAAAGATTACATTGCCGTATTCATTCGCACCTGGGGCGCTAGAGCCGCTCCAGTATGTCAGTACTGAGTTGCCCTCAAAGGATGCAACGCGGAGGTTGTTGGCATTGACCATCGGACCATTCCAGACAAGCTGTCCAGTATTGTTCATGGTTAGCGGGCTGGTGTTTGATTGTGGGGATATGTGTTTGTTGTAACATTGCCGCCTGTGTCCTCCAGCTGATGACACTGTATCATGGGTGAAGCCTTAAATCTCCTTGGTAGTACTAGGCTGAATCTTTTCCAGCTTCTCCGCAATCTTTACCCAGACTTTCTTCTGCGTCTCAACCCCTTCAGGACTTGTCACAAACTTGCTTTGCGCATTACTATGGCTCTCGGGTTTGTGGATTGAAAGGAAGAGATGAGCTGAAGGCGAAAAATAAACTAATCTATCAAAGCTACCCATGCTGATAAAAAGCCCGTTGCTCTCCTTGCCCGTGGTCACGGTATGCACAACGGTCTTGCTGCCCGCTTCTGCGACCACGCGAGCAAGAATCGCATGATTTTCATTTTGTAGTAGGTAGAGCCTACCGCACTACGTGTGAGACTTGTCTAGCAGAGGCCAAGGTTGACAACTTCTACGAAGTTAAACCCTGATTAGTTGTTCCATATATCAAGAAGACACGTCAGATTTCCAAATAGAGGCTATACAAGATGTAAACAAGTGGTTGGCCGCTCTCCCGCTGGGGATAGTAAGCCTGAATGGGCCCAATTTGAGGCCTGAGCAGGCATATTTCTCGTACCCTAGTGTAAGAGATAATCACTGAAGAGAGCTTTGAAATGGTTGTCTTAGCGCTTGCAGGCATCTATGCGTGTGAAATTGAACGCGATACGAGAGCCGAACAGTGTTGGCCGCACATAGGTTGAGCCATTGCTGCTAGCCGTGCCGGAGCAGAAGAACTCTCCTCGTCAATGATTTGCAGAGAAAACTCGTAAGCCGTTGCGAAACCCTTCCTATGGTTTAGGAGGACAGTCCTTCCTTCAGATTGACCTCAATTTTTCTTCGAAACGGGAGCCTAGGTAGTATAGAAATACGACAAGTCTTCAGCCCAAGTTCGTTTGCGCGAAGACGGCATGTAAGTCTCGGATGTCCGCTCGAAGATGCTCACGGACTTACTTGTCGATGTATTCACCCGATATCATCGAAGACGAAGGTACGCATTCTCTGCGGATCGAAGTAAGTGTGTCTGACGCCGCAGCCTGAGCTACCTCGACTCAAGAACAAGTGGCAGCCGCTGGGCACCGATAAGATTCACAAATGGGGATTGTAGCAACTTTGCAGCCTGCTGAAGAATGAACATCTTGATTGGGGTCTTCCGTGGTCTTTCTGCATACTGAGTATAGTATGTTAATGGAGGAAGGGTGATGAAAACTTCTTTGACCATGCTCCAGCAGGGGTATAGGGTGGTCTCGGTGTTCCACGGACGGAAAAGAGGCGCAGAGTCCCTTCTCGCGGTTCTCCGCCTTATTCGTACAAGATGATAACAAGTTTTTGCGCCTGGGCTGCCGAGAGTGATACCGCAGTATGGGATGTCGGATGGACAGAGCTTGATATAAGCATAAGCGAAGTACTGGTTATACCAGCGTGCCGGAGGATAACAGGTGTCCTTGTTTGATAGTGTCTTGCGCATGCGAGAGTCCAATTGGTCTGGTTGGGAACGAGGCGAGATACAACAGTAGCCTCGTGGAATCTTAGTTTCTATTACCCAAGCCGCTTTCTGGATGCGGATGTAGATGTTGAAATACGCGATAGCCGAAGGTACATACTGGTGACCCTGAATCAATTTCAAAGGCGCTGGGATGCCATCACCGCGTACCGCTTTCGCTGTTTCAAGACCGGAAACGCTACTTGAAACTGGCAATAACAGAAGTATTCGAGTAGAGAAACTGGAGAAAGACAATCTAACTTATCATTACAGCGGCGTACAGTACAAGTAGTCTCATGACGTACCGACCTCTAATCTCTTCTTTCCTGTCAATGTGTGACTGGTGCAGTTATACCCAACAAATCATTATCTACCGTCAACATCAGCCAATTTAGCAATAGAATCCAAGAGTCAATTTTGTCAGCAGCATTCCCGCGCGCTCTTGAAGCAGAAGCACAAACACCGCTCGGTCCCAAACTCGCAGCACTCTCGTACCTCGGGCTAGTCGTCAAAGCCATTGGGGACAAGGCTGGGCTAGGAGGTTCACACGATCAAATTCCGAGGTAGAGGTGAAGCTTGCCAAGTTTCGCGATTTCCTAATATCTATAGAGGGTATCACAGGCCGAGAAGATAATGACACATCAAACTTCTGGTTCGAAAGCAGATGTTCTCAACTCCGTACTCCTATCCACGAGCTTTAATAGCTTTCATTATGTGCATAGATTTTCAATGCCCTCCAGATTGGGTGACCTAAGCAGACTCTAGACGGGTCCACGGAGGACCGTGCCAATATAACAGTATCGCATAAAGAGTGGTTTTCAAGCAGTGGCTACGGCTGACATTGAAGCGTTGAAAGAAACCAACGATCGCGTGTCTGAGAACGGAGGTTTCTCAGGATCTGGTACCGCAGTGCATCCTTGTGCCACCACTATGGTTTTTGTCAGCCTACGATCGCATTATAACCTCTCTGGAATGGAAAGATAACCTACGGGCAGCAAAGAGCACGTAGTTGGTCGGATTCTTGATCGAAGTAAGTAGAGAATAACCGACACACTGGTTCCAGTCGAAAGTTTCCCTCGGAATGCTGCTACTATTAAGGCTCGCTGTTCCGAGATACAGCCGGACAAACTCGTAGAAAAGCGTGTACACCTGGTAATTTCGATAGAAGATACTGACGTCGCCAGCGAACAGATTACCCCTCAATTCGGGGCACTTACTTCCAAACGGCGCCAAAGGCTGCTGGAAAAAGCGCGGGCATAAGAATATGTAGACCGATCCATCCGCATAAAACGCCTCCGTAGGTGCTCCCCCAGCAGCCGCTGCGCACCGTTGCCATGGATCGTATCCCAAATCCAAGTAACTGTATAGCTTCGCTGAGCCGGGAGTCGCACAGGCAATCCGTGGCGCGGTTACCCTCTGAGGTGCCGGCTTCAAATTTATCGAGCCACGGTAATCGTAGATCATTTTGAGATATATCGCGACCCGAGGTTGTACTGCATTGTTCTCAAACATGGCCTTGTACTCAGGACTCCCAATGCCAGCACCGACGACGAGTCTGGCTGAATTTGCGACGCGATTGGCGGCAAGTAGTGCACGCTCGACTTCAGGCTTGCGAGTCCCGCAAAATTCGATCAGCAAAGGGGGAGCATCAGAATAGGTTGATGTGAGGGTACGATCAGATGTTAGGGACTGGTTCGCCAACGTGAGGGACGGTGGCGAGGTATCGGCTAGTGAAGGTTAGCGATGGTCTATTTGGGGCAGCAGAAGGGGGTCAATGTATCGAGAGTACCAGATGGTGCAGGAAGAGTCGAGACGAAGGAATTAAGTGCTAATAGAATGGCCAGCCGAATAGCGGCACCAAGTAATGTCATCCTGACTGCAGGACTTGTGTGGTACAGTAGCTTTCGAATGAGAATGCTAGGGCAATGAACAGCGCCTTTCCAATACAGATTATAGAATTGTGGTCCACGTGGACATAGAACGTTTCCCAAGGGATAATATAGACGGACAGACAGCCCCAAAGAAACGGGGCGCGAACAAGCGCTTAGATTGTGAGACGAAAATCCGCGTTGGGAGCGGCTATGCTGATCCGCCTTTCATGCGGGCTGATCCATTTTTACCGAGATCGACGGCATCCATCATCGAATCAAACGTATCAGGAAGTTGCCCACTCTCTCTCTCTCTCTCCGGAGATCATGAAGGCTGTAAGGGTAGTTAGGCTATCGTCAGTGACATCCATCACGTGTCTTACGAGTAACGACTTCGGCGATACAATCCAAATGGCGTGTATCCAGTCCCATTACACCAGATGGTCAGAAGGTGGCAGCTCATCCAGGATCCACAGATGACCCTCACCCAGTAGCCGGACGAACTTCTGCTCATCTGTCTCAACCACCGAAAAGACCTCAAACAAGAAGTCCCAACCCTTGTACCTCTCCACAAACCAATTAATGCCGGTAAGCCCCGTGGTTCATGAACCCCATGTTATATCATCCACGGCCGAGACATTCTTATGATAGTTGTAGTCATCTACGAACTCGCCAAGGTACGCGAGATCATAGAGACCGATGAGCTGGAGATACTCTCTGGAAACGGTGTCGTGGATTGCTGCGTTTTTTGTAGGAGGAGACCACAGATTCGTTGCGGCTGGGATAGAGCTCGTACTCGAAGAACGTGATATTGAGGTCTGAAATGGGAACGTGGTACTTGAAAGGTTCGCTAGGAGGATTGTAGCTGTAGGAGATTTGTTAATCAAGTATCTCTGTCGCAAGAGGGCTCAATTGAACTTACCCGAGAGACTGTACTTGCCCGAGAAACTGAACGCCTGTACGGTTGGCGAGTCTAGCCGTCGCGCCTAAAACCGTAGGATCTTATTAGGGACAAGCGATGAGGAGGCTAGCGACACGAGAGCGAGACTAGGTGTCAAAGGTGACACTTCGAAAGATGTTAGCGCGGTTGCACTTCCGGCAAGAGATCGCGAGAACAGAGGTTGTACAGAGCTTCATCTTTCCGTCTTCGGATTCCAGAACGAGAACAGTCTATTCCGGGGTTGGATGATCTTAAAATACCTGATCTTCCGCCTGTCGCTTCGATATATCGCCTACCAGATTCCCACTAACGACACCAAGAAAGTGTTGGTCCGTGCGAATAATGGATCAAAAACCCTGGTCCTGCCATATGTGTAGTCTAGATTGGTACCCACGCTGAATCATGGTCATCATTGTGAAGTCTGAAAGACGCCACTCGCTGCATTGCGGCACTGCGACGGCTCTAATACGCCGAGCTTCAGATCTGGTGCTTCAAATACCACACCACTAGGCACGTCGCAGCAAGCCACGGAAACAAATGTGCAGTTGCAGGGATAAGCTGGTGGGGTGATTGCTTGAAGCCGATGTGAAGTTAGAGGTCACGTGAACGAGATCTGTGCCATTGACTGAGACCTCGTGGAGCCGGCGGCCGTCAAATACAAAGTTGGATGGCTTGCAGGTCCCGGTGTAATAGCGGCTTCCAACACCTTGGAATGGGTCCGCAATGCAGCGACATCCGTCGCTTGCGCCGCACAGGTTGACAAGACCCCAGCAAGATTCGCCACATGATGGAGGCGCCGAAGCCACTGGGGTCTCTGGCTCTTCGAGCTCGCTGAAGTCTCCAATGGCCTCCAAAAAGTTCCAAAAGTCGTTGTCATTTGCGCAAGATTCATTTTGTGCTTCCTCGGATACCATTCCAGCTTCACGCTCTTCTGCAGCTGTATCTTGACATGATGCTTGATCGGTCTTGAGCCATTGCTGAACGGCTTTATCGAAGCGGGGTTTTGGCGCATGAAAGTTGAGTATAAGGCTGCGTGTCGTCCCTAAGCACTCATGATCACCACTCTTCCTTGACCATCCGGGAGCTAAGCTAGTCGAAGAGATACTGCTTCTAAGACTTCACGTACCTATATAAGTGAACCATCCCTGTCCTTTGTATCGAACAAATTGCAGCATTATCAACTGGGCCGGAAGTGACATCGAATAGTAGTACCCTACTTCGACAGACACCATTCCGTTACTCCATCGAAGAGGCATTAGTGACAGCGTGCATCCCGGACCTAGAGACATATTTTCAGAATGCTTGAACCAGCTCGCGAGGCTGGCTGCCGGACTAATTTCCAGATGCCAATCTGGGCAGAGTGACTCTTCGATTGCGAGGATGCGGGCTGACCCAAGATGGGATCACGGCGCCGGGCACTGTGAAAGAGTGCAGGTGTCGGTCGGGTCGAGGCTCTTCGTCTGGCCAGCCGCCGCTCAGCTCTGTAGCAAGTTCCTCGCAATCGTTGTAGGTAGGGTTGCCAAAGACTTCGCTGCAAGTAGGATTCCCCATTGCTACATACATCAAGTGATACAGCAGACTGAGACACGGAAAGTAAGTCCCATACATAGCAATTTAGATTTTTAAAAAAGCGAATATTTGAGAAGAGCTAAGTATCGAATCATGTATAGATATCACAGAACGCAAAATGAAAATGCTTGATTTCAGCCAAATCAAGGAGCGGGGCGGCTATACGTGCGAAAGGCGATCTCATTAGCGGTATCAGGGCGTTATTTTCCGACGCCAAACCAAAAATGGAGGCTGCCTCATGTCGTTCGCGCGCTGAATGGAAGTCCATCGAGACGGCAAAGGGAGTAGTGACTCTTCTGGGAATTTCGCTCCTGAAATGTGCTGGAGTGGACGAGGACGAGGTCGTCTGTAGAAATGCTTTGGCGCTGATAAGGAGTTTTCGTAAGGTGTTGGACCAGCTGTTAAATTATAATGCTTACTGTGAAGGATTATCGGGAAGATGGAATTGTGTGTGGGCGAAAGAAACACAGTTACTCCGCAGATGGTAAGCAAAAGTGGTGAATGCCATTGATCACAAGACAGGAAACAGCAGCAGGGAAGGTAGACTCCGAGACGGGAGCTATGATTGAACGCGCTACAGTACCTCATCGGTCGGCAATCAACCTGCGTAATCCCATGCTATCTCCCTACAGACTACCGAGCCCGCTCCCAGCGTTCCTGAGGGGAATCTTCCGTTCCATGGAGCGCCGATGGCTGTTCAAATGGTCTGGTAGTATTCAGAATACCTGTACGGAGGTTGACACGTAAAGTCCTGCACAGCGCTAGCGCTAAGGTAGCCCTAACCCTACTATCGGAAGGCAGCCCTATAACTGAAGACCCTAGTATTATTTCCTGAGAGCGCATAGATTGTACAATGGGGGCATCTTTTGGGCCGATAATGGGTTATGGGCCTAAGCTGGGCTCAGGCCAAGTGTGATACGATAATTCTAAGCGCAATGTCCAGGGAACGCTTGAAGGACGAGGCGATACCCGACATCTGGACCCTTTTCTTGGGATGTGCAGGACTTTACGTGTCAATCTCCGTAGACCAGGCGGAGGTGCAACAGGCGCCCTATGTTCGAGAAGTTGTTGGGGGGTAACGGGATTACAGTTGTAGCTGTAGCTGCTTTCGGTCATGTAATTCAACCAATGACATCGGCCAAGACTCCATTTACGACCTGCTATGGGAGTAGTTCCGCCAACATCATCTTGATGAGTGAGTGCAGTGCAGTGCGTTGTCTTCTAGCACGCATGACCACTTGTCATGCTTCCAGCTGCTCCTCAGGAATGCTAAGCCAGATTGACTCGGCTACGGCTATGTAAGAAGTGGACCTAATTAGCTGTAAGAGCACGAATTCCGATCGGAGTTAAAGAGGTTGGAAGACCATGGCCTGGCTCTCAGGGAAAGACTGTCCCTGGTTGGGCCCCCCGTGTCCATTGTGGGAGTGATCAACCCCTGAGGAAAGTTGCCATGCACCCCTCTTCCATCTCAGGCTGGAGGTGCTCTAACAACACAGGAAGACGACCTCTAAATCCACCCTTGTCCCCGCTTGCAGAAACCTAGGATGTCGTAACATTCCCTCCCAGCGTCAGACCAGACGGATCATTCTGAGCGCTGAGAAAGATGTTGATTGGTTCATTATCGCCTGCGTCAAAATAAGCGAACTTTACAACCCACGCCTACTGTATATCCATTCTATGCCTCAAGAAAATTACCCAAATGGAGTCCCGTACCGGAGAAGCCACGCTGGATACACATCGTATTGACCGCAACACCAGCCGCCCAGATTTCGAACCAATCTGTTCCGAACTTGCTGGGCGTCATGCTGACGACGATCATGCAGGAAGTGGGATCCTGCCTGTCTACAAGCCGTTCGTCAGCCACTTGGATCGACGCGAAAGCCAGGCGCGAAATCGGAAGGGAATTCCACTCACCAGTAGTCACTCTCGGAAGAACGATTTCACTACGTTCGCGGGGTACGAAATGGCCTATTCTTTGTGCTCGCGGGTAGGTAGGAAAGCACCTTATCACACACTGCTTCCGATGGAGGGGGCTTGAAGGGATCATTGTCGCAGTCGAAATAAGGCTCGTAGCTTCTGATGTATATCAGGAGCTCGTTTCGAGGAGCTAGCGTACATAATAAGTCACTGGTCTAGCCGAACCCAAATTTTAGATAAATCCTCCCTTCTTCAACTCACCCACACACTCATCCAAAATCGTCTTCGCGTACGTCGAGATAATAAGCCCATTACTGACATCGCCCATAGCAGCCAGTTCAAGAGCAATGTCAATGGCACAGATTCTATCATCGCTTAAATACCGAATCGGCGCGGAAGAACAGGGCTCGGGTTGAGCGATCAATCATTTCCAAGCGTTCCTACAACTGGGCTTGGAAATGTCGCGGCCGAGACATGTGGAGGCACTGCAGTATGGTTTGATATATGGCGGATTCCCGATGGTCCCATAGAGGGAAGGGGAGAGGCCGGTCAAATTGGAGGACGTGGGGATTGAAGGGGTGAGGAGGTCTAGAGAAGGAGGAAGAGACACCGAAATCACCGAGGTGAGAAAAAGAAAGACAGGAAGGCCTTGGAACAAGGGCCACATATCGAGGAACAAAAAACGATAAAGTCTTCACAGGAAACGAAGTAAGATACAGAGAGTGAAATTCATCAGTCCAGCTGTATTACGAAATGCCCTACATCAAGCATGGGACTGAGCCTCGAATGATTTTTGCGACACAACTATTGATGGCCACGTTTTGACTGCGAACGCGACATGCGCCTTTGCGTTACTGTGAAACAGGGTGGAAACAACGTGGGGATGCGCGAGAGCCTCCCCTTAAGCAAGATGTTAGCGCAATATGCGCTGCCGTAGATGTCACCTTCCACAAATCGAATGTTGCTGTTAGTAATGCAAAGCTCTGAACCCTTGAGTCAACAAATGCCTTCCCTTCATCATCCACCTAGTAGATGATGGTTGCCTCGAAGAAGAACGGGCGCGACTCGTCACCGTGAGGTTGCTTGAGTCGGAAGATGAGCCACCTCCGGCTTATACAGGGCTCTTTTTGTCTTTGCCATCGCGGCGAGCGGACCTCACAGTCCAAGTAGCTTCAATACAAACAAAAAGATGGAGAGACAGGGGTAACCAAGAGAAACGCTGGCCGGCACTGGGTGAGAGCCAAGGTAGATGTCAGGAGATCAGCAATCGAAGTACCAGCTCATCAGCACTTCTACGAAGAGTCTCTCGGCCGCTCTACGATTTCGTAAAGTCATCATCAATGCCCATTACCTCACTTATCTCCCTCAAAAAGCCCACTGACCCAACCAAATCTCCATCCACTCCGGCCCCACAGCGCTCAATTCGCCCATTGTGGGACTTCTCTTTACCGTCTGCTTGGTCTCCAACTCAGTCTCCGACCCGCCCGCCTCCATCTGCGCGAAGAACTCTAGTAACTTGATACCCGGATTCTTCGCGACGTCATCGGTCATTGACGCCGTGGCCTTCAGTGCCTCGAGCCAAGACTCGAAACTCACAGGCTCAATCTTCTCGTCAAAATGTTTCGTGATGACAGGGACGAGCGCTTCCCATGAGCCGGGCTGTGGATTCACGACGTTGTGGTATCTGGTCCAGACTGCACTTGAGGGTTCATCTTTGATGTCGGAGAGGACAAGATCGACTATGACGTTTGCGGTGGTGTCAACTGGGATCCAGGCTACCGTGTCCTGGCCGGGAATGGTTGTTGGGATTTTGCCTAGGTACTTGGAACTGGCTATAAGCTAGAGATACAAGTACTTCAGTAACTGCTTCTGAAGCTTCGTGAAGAGTGATTGCGAAGACAATCCACAACTAGAACTTACGCTCGGCAGCCATTCCTGTTTGTTCCAAATCCCATCTTTGACGACAGGGCCTGCGAGTTGTCCAACACGGCAGATGGCCGCTGATACACCAGAACTCTTTCCAGCTTTCTCGAGCAGCTGTTCCGCTACGTACTTTGATTCTCCGTAGCCCATCGCTGAAGGAACACTGAAATCGTAGAAGGCTGACTCAGGGACCTTGTCTTCGGGATACTGAATTGCCCAGTTGCCCAAGGTGGAGATGCTGGATGTGAATAAGATCGGTGGGCTCTTGGGTGACTGATTTGAAAGGTTGATGAGTTCCCGAACCCCTGCAATGTGCGGTTCGAAGGATTCCAGATTGAGATTGAAGTCCACCTGCCATTGATTGTCTATAAGTACAAGTCAGCTAGTCCTTTGTCGTAGTGAGTGAGATCGCTGCATACGGATGATAAACGAAGCTTCCTTGACAAGCATGTTGTAATCATCAGCATCCAACCCTAATTTACTCTTACTGAGATCGGTGGTCAGAAAGTGGACTCTTTCTCCCCATTCAGTCATTAGGCCTCGTGATTTGTTGCCATTCCTCTGCTTGCTTTCGCCATCGGCTCCTCGATTGAGACAGAAGACCTTCGCCACTTGAGTATCAGCTAGCAAGCAATCCAAGAGATACGAGCCAAGCGAGCCCGTGCTCCCCGTCAGAACAATCGCGAAACCTTGCTCCTGGCGCTGAATGGTGTCGTTCTTGGGTTGTGGGAGATCGCCAGAGTACTTGGCGAGCATTCCCTCCATCTTGCCAATCCTTTCTTCTTCCAAGCCCTCGGATGCCGCTTCCCCGTGATCTGCCAAATACTCTACGGCAGCAGCAAGCTCGAAGACGGTAGGGTTGGAGTATATCATCCTTGGTGATATGAGGTGCGCTACTGCTCCCCCATCATGGTCCCTGAACGAAGACCGAAGCTGCCGTACGAGGTTCATCACCTGCAGCGAATCCATGCCAGCAGCAAAGAAATTCTGTTCGAAAGTGATATTTTGAAGCCCTTCCATCTCAGTCAACATATCGCATATGCCGGTTTTTAATGCATTTTGGTCCCTAGGATTCAGCTGGACAGCATCTGACGAATTCCCAAAGCCTGCAACGTCCGCATATAGTTGATCAATCTCTTCTCCGTAGGCTTGATTCGTAGCGCGACGCTTCACCGTGCCCTTATCGGTTCTCAGCAAAGGTTTCCCGGCCTTCGCAAAGAAGATGTGATCAAGATCAAGTTTAGCATAGGCAGGAGCAACTTCGTTCGCTTTGGTGACATAGGGCAAGAGACCGTCGAGGACTTCCTTTTTGGCTCTTTCCGTGTCCGGAACGCCTCTAAGCTCCAAAATAGCAGCTGTTTCGAATCTTCCTTGCCCGACAACAAGAGCGCCAAAGATGCCTGAACATGAGCGCAAAGTCGCCTCCATATCGTTAGGATTAAACTTTTCCCCGTTAGAAAACACAATCACGTCATCGGATCTTCCTTCGTAAAGCCATAGATCCGGCTTTGAGGGATGCTTCGAGTAAAGATCATTCATGGAGAATTCGGATTGATCAGGGAAGGTGTAAAACGACCAGTGAAAAGGGTCTGTTGAGTCATGACGGGCGAAGACCTGTTCGTATAACCCAGGACCAACTTCCCGAAACTCGATTCCTTTCATTCTAGGATCGAAATGAAAGTAGATCCAGTCTTCTGGGTCTTTCTTGAGTAGCGGGAAAAACCCAGCTTCTGAGGATCCCATCACATTAAGGACATTAGTATATCTCGAGATGGTATCACCAGCAGTCTTCCCGAGAGGTCCTATTCGTGTTACATCAGCATTCCAGGAACCCTAGACGTTATGGGACTGACCTCCAGCAAATTGAATGGATTTGAGCTTCTTTAATCTCTCGAGAGAAGTCTGCGACTGGCTGAGTTCTTCCAATGTAGATGGCGCAAGAAACATAAGGTCCACATTGACGTTGTCAAGTAGGTCGTCGATAAGATCGGCACTGATAGGCCGACCAGTGGGAGCCCAGACCGTAGTGATTTCGAAGTACAGAGCGACTAATAGGGTCTGTAGGATACCCGCCGCCTAGACATTGATCAATACGGTTTCTCATACCAGAGGCAGAATCATGTGGGGATCGTTGCATTACATGGAATGGAGGCAAGCTTGTGAAGACGCGGACACCACCTTCAAAAATGTTGATCTGGGCATCAAATCCGTCTAGGGGAGGAATCAGGTGTTGGTTGTCGACAGCTGCCACCCCGCCGTGATACAGGACGATCGGCTTCGGTAGTCCAGTGGATCCGGATGTGTGGACTATGATGAAAGGGTCTTGCGCAGCCTCTTCAAACGTCTTGTTGTAGTCATAATGCTCGCTGAAGTCACCGCCTAAGAATTCTTTGAGCCCTTCGATTCTGAAGTGGCGCATATCTCTTTTTGATAAGATATGGTCGACCTTCGATTCCACAGGGCTGATCAAGATATTGCAACTCGTAGTCTCCAGGAGGGCCAAGTGACCCTCGACGCTATTTCGTGGTGACGGCAGTAGAGTCTGCTCGCGCTGCTTAACATTCACGAAATAATATGCAGACAGGATTCCGCGACTGAACTCACCTTGTAGCCCACTTTCGCAGCGGCGACCGCAACGATGTAGTATCTGAGGTCCACTGATGATGGAACTTAGCAACATCCTTCCCGAGCATGTCTGCCTTACTTGGACCAAGATATGCGATTGTCTCGAACTTGGCACTCTTTCCAATTTTTTCATCGATCCAAAAGGCAGCCCGGTTGACTGCGCGAGCCAATTTTCGAGAGGTAACATTTTCGAAGCCACCGGTAAAGTCTTGATGGCGGGGTATCGAAGCATAGACGTGATCCGGAGTGAAAGCCGCCATTTCATCGACTAGTGTGGGTATCAACCTACGTCCATACTCCTGCCCACCCTCAGGCGCCGCGATTGAGGCCATGGCGGTAAACAAAAGCACGGATTGATTTTTACGGAAAAGGGGACTCTCTGAAACAGAAGGTATGGGAAGACCAGATGGGGCTTTTGTGGGGATTTGACTAGCAAGTACATAGGAATCGAATACACATGCTCCAAGACAAATGTGTCGGTTCCCCGCCTTCTTGGGAGACCCTCGGCCAGAAACCCAAGAAATAAATGTCATGCAAATCAACCGAGGATATGCGTGTGAGATGAGGGTCAGCCTGCAGTCTGTGTTGGGTAGTAAGCATAATCTTGTCGTTGGTAGATAGGTCGAATCTTTGGGGGGCCTTTTAGAGCACGTCATACCTTAAGCATGACAAACCACAAAAAGTCCTCGGCTTTCTTTAGTAATCGCTCCAGAAGAATTAGAACCGAGGTTTGCGGCACCTCCAACCAGAGGAGAGATCCTCTGCATTTCATTCTGCATCTAGTGGGCAAAGAGATCACATGATGCGCCATTATGGAATACAGCGACCAGACGGCAAACCGACGCTGGTCGGCGCCCCTCTACTGAAACGTAGTTCCTGTGCTTCCCAACGATTCGCAGAATCTCTTCTCTCCTTCCGCGCTAATGACTTGCAAGGAAGCACGGTTGTGCAGCTCTTACACAAGTCTTCGTGGCTTCACTCGGCTCTGCGGTCGCAGTCGCATGGTTCAAGGGCCATGGAGAGCACAAAGCCTCCGCCCACCCATCGACTTGACCGTCGCTGATTTTGGTCGGTTCGATCTTTGCATATCGACATCTGACCATTGGGCACCAAGTTTCTGCTCAGTCGTTCCAGGTTATCACAGACAACGTTGCTATCGCCGCAACCTTGTCATCCAATGACCTGCCATGCTAGGCCACTATAGCCAATTATTTGAGTGAAGATTTCATTCCTAAGCGCCAAACCCATAACTTTGAACTCGCTGTCATCCATGAGCTCGAAAATCAGCCCACTATCAGAATGTTTGCGTATGGTCTTGCAATTGTCAAATCGTAGCTTCCATAGAAGGGTTGATCTCACTGCAGTTACGTAGCGAGCACCACTTGAGCTGACGTGAAGATCTCCATGATGGCTTTGGCACGTGCAATGATATCTGCCAATATCTATTGCAGGTTCGGTCTCGTCATCGGCCTTCGAAGGCATTGTCGTCTTATCTGACGCGCCTTCAACGTTTTTGGAGGGCTCTGTGGGCAGTGCATCTTTGCTGTGCCTGGCTTCCACTTGCAAGCGAGCTATGGCCCACTCGGCTGCAGTCAAGAGCGTCAGCGTTGCTTTTGAGATCCAAAGGCAAAGGGACTTGGAGCACATACCATCTGTGGGTATCTTCCAAAATAACCATGTCAATGGCGATACAACATGCCGATAGTGTGGCATGCGGCTCGCAATTGGAAATGTCCCGAAAAACATAATGGCGGCTTCAAGTTGTGACATCTTGACCAGCAGCCAGAGAGGTGTGGTGGTGATGAACAGCCAAACAAGACCGAGAAGTGATAGCGAAAACACTGTGCGGGGTGGGCTCCGCCATTGGTAGAAGCTGTGAGTGGCACGTATCAGTACCTCGGAAGGATGAGCAGGCAGGATGGGAAAAGGAAAAGCCTGCGCGTGGTCACCACGTAATCTCAGTCCTTGCTTACTTTCTCATGATTTCCAAAGTGTCTGCCATATCGCCCAGTGCTAATAGTGATCTCGGTCCCAGCTCTTTGATCAACGCGTCCATCCACCCACGAGATCCATGCTGCTCGATCAGCTGAGTGAGATTCGTGGCGGTCTGCTCAACGTCCTCAGACCGTCCAATATTTTCCCGGAGATCTTCAGCCGTTGGAGGGTACAGGTGTCGCATAAGCACGAGCCACATAATGCCAAGAACCTGGGGGGATTACCATCAGCATTAGTGATCCTGAACCCATGACATGGTTTTTCAAGCTTACCGCAGCGCCTGCAAGATGACCGATGGCCCAAAAAAAGAGGTAGGATCCAAGGTACACGCCGGTCTCCACAGGGTCATCCCAGCGATAAATGTGCCGAATCTTCATGAGGACCACTTGATACGGCGTTGATGACATGAGGAACCTTTCCAAACTAGTGTTGATGGCGTCCTCATTTGCCGAAGGTAGGGTTGGGGACTCGTCAATGTACTGGTCACAGTAGTGCCTGGCATAAAAACGTGCGAGCTGGACGTTGATTTAGCATTCGAGCCTTTTCGAAGACGTCATACTAATTCGAGAGCACGATAGTGCGCATGCACTGTTTGAAAAAGCACGTACATGCTGGCTGTAACTGGCCCAGTTGACTTGGCCTTCTTTCTCCTGATCCCCTGTTCGGAAGTCCTTCTTCTGCGGCCGCGGTAGATTGAGGGGCGGTATTCTTCTAATTTTGAGTACATGGCGATCCATTGTCCATCTAACGTATTGGTCTTGTCTTGTCTTTTTCAAATCCTCCAACTCCCCCAGCGCCGACTGTTGTTCCTCCTTATTGTCGGCAGCCGCCGCCTTATCGTATACCCGGACCAGATTCACATCCGCACCGTGGGCTATGACTTGGTTGTCCATAACATCAGCCATCTTTGCCCCACTTGCGCCATGTAGTAGGGATGAGACAGTATCGACCGGGTTGTGAAGGAATTCTTTAAGTTGGGGTCCCTTATGCTCTGGTACAGGATGAAAAAGGCGGTCCTCATCGCCATCGTGGATGGGTGCCGGTGCCAAAGCAGGAGCTGTGGGCAACTGATAAGCGTGTTGCTGATGGGAGGTATGCAGGAGCTTGTGTGTCTTGATCTTCACTTTCGATCGTACTTTCGCAGAGACTCGTCGCACATTAGCAAAGCTCCTCGGGTTTGTATCGGCTTCTCCTTGGTCGCCGTCGACGTCGTAGCCATCGCTACCACTGGAGCTAGGACTGGGACTACGTGGGTGCTCCTGCAGTGGAGCGATGATATGGCGGTCGGCCTCGTCGTAGACGTTAAATGAGGCGCGATCCAGGCCACTAGACGCGTGCTCGAGAGAGGCAGGCTTGCTGAGGCTGAGGATGCTTGACATAATAGTTAGATAATTGCTTGGAGAGTGCAATCCTATGCCTTCATCATGCTGGACACAAGTTAGAACGAGCTCAGGTCTTTGGCTCGTGAATGATGAAACAAGTGGAAGGTTGGGAATGAGTGACGTGTTTCGGTAATGTAGTTTGGTGTTTTGGGTCACCTGGTCAAATTTGAATGGTGGCGGAGATAAGATAAAGTATCCGCCCCACTCTTGATTAGATAAGAGAATTTAGTGTCCTCTCCTCAATTGAATTTCTACATAAGTACTTTACGCTGCCGGCCGGCTTTTGCAATACCTTACAACCAAGGGAATGTTTTACAATCTCTCACTCGACCGATGTAGATGTTCAAGCTAAATAAAGATGAAGTAGTTATCATCAGTATCGGGAAATCTATCATATGAATTCCAAGACTTTACCGAAGTGGTGAGCGCTCATCGTATTAATTTGAAGTGTGACTGCGCCGATGTGACATGGGCAGGGACTTCGGTCATCCACACAGAAACACTCGACTCGCCAAGATTCCATACCGACAACGGCTACAAACAAATTCACTGCAACAAACTCGAAGCGCTTCATCATTCTTCAAAGTCTCGTACCAAGACCCTTCTCGACGATCCGTCATTTGAGAAATTACCGCCGTCGGGTGATCTTCGGCGAACCGAATATCAGAAGCCGGCTGGAGTATTGCCCCTCCCTTGAAGCCTCGGAGAGAGATACGCTCATGTTCTGCTTGACGGAAACGTGGAAAGCATCGTTGCCTTGTCAACGCCTGCCTCCGTCTTCAACTCCTCCTTCTCCACTCGTAGCTACCGTGAAAAGAGGAGGATCCAGCCCGGTCAGCACAGTCATCTCTCCCATCAGTAGCCGTTAGAAAACCACCAAACTATCGGCCTTCGGGATTGGCCGCAACTCCAAGTGCCACCAACCTTGAGGCTGGCGGTGCGTCTTGCCTTCCTCTTCAGCAGTAATCTGCACTCATACATGATACAGCTGAAGGATAAAGTCATACAGTGTGTACGGAGATACAAAGGCTGAGCAAGAGCCCGCCCAGTATGTTAATATTTGCACCAAAAAATGCACCGAAGCCACGGGACTCTCGAAGAAGCTCCCCGTGCGAGATGCAAGAGGTGTACTCGTATCTACCTGGATATGCAATCTCTTCCAATGAATCCAAAACTTCATAATCCGTCGTTCCAGAACCGTACTACAAAAGAGTTTAAATTAAAAGTATGAAGCGTAAAATAAGACTTCCAAAACTTCATGAATGTTGAAAACTGAAGTTATATTGGTAAAATTATATAATAGTGGAAAAAAGCCAGTCCGAAATCTCCAGCCCTACGCCGCGCAACGGGGCGGGGGAACTCGCCCGGGGTTCGGTGGTTTCGGGGTGAGTTTTTGGGTTGGTACCCCTCTAAAACCCACCCCCAGATTGGTCGGTCTTAGAGATTGCATATCCGGGTAGATACGCGTATGCAAGCAACACACCTGAAGGATTGATCTGTGTTCCATCGGGCAGGTCTCGAGCAACTACTATGTACGGATAATCCATGAAGATCGTCTGTGAGGATGATATCAAGAACTACGAGTAGAGCCATGTGGATGAAGGGTCTTGTCGAAGCCGGGAGATGCCGGATACTGTTGTCACTAAACACTTGGCGCAGCCTTGACCGACCTAATCAAATCGTGCCACGCACTTCCCTTACCTCGCTACGCGGACAAGGTAGACACCGTCTTACAAACCATGGACTACAACGGTTTCTGCATAACCTCTATGAAAAACGATTGGACCGGAGTCTCTTCATCAACATGTCGTTAATCAACGGCTGGGCCCCCAGATTAAACTCCTTACTGTATGAGGACTGAATAAAGAAAAGAAAAGAATAGGAGTCACCTCCACACCTGCCCCCACCCCTGAGCTTTCTTCGGGACCGGAGTCCGAAGCCTCGGCCTTCAGGGTGACATCGGCTCGGGAAGGATCTTGACGGTGCGATCCCTAGACCGAACTGAGATTCTAGCGCATACAAGAAGAACTCTGGGCCGAGGTTGTAGGGGTAGGAATTTGCTTCCCGCGCCTCTCTTCTCAATTCTCCTCTAGTCTTACTCTTGCATTCCCTAGTCTACCGAAATCGGGTCTTCCTGTACCCACGACACTCGTAACCTTCATCAGTCGTCAAGATGCGCGTTGGCGAGTCTCACCGCCCTGGGGACCCGCGCATCCTCTTCCAACACTCTCAGGTCTTGGAGGACTCCCGGATACTCTGCATCAGCTTCGCGAGCCTCTGCTCCGCAGCTTGCACCTTGAGCACCTGCGTCTTGCCCTCTCTCCTCGAGGCAACCGCAGTCGCCACACCCTCAATGAACTTCCGCATGAACTTCCGCAGGCTTTGCAGCTGCATAACGATCAACATTCGAACCAGTCCGACACGTTCATCTGGCGTCTCGATCTCGTAGCCACCGAGGCACACCTTGATGTCATCCATCGGATTCTCGCGCGCGTGGTGTTTCCCGTCTGCACTACTCTCCCGGACCGGAGTGCCGTCAGTCATGTCGTCGAGATACTTGGCCACGGTTGATTCGCATAGAGAGGCTAGCCGTTCCGTAACCATTCCTAGTAGTAGAACATACTCGGAGCGCAGAAAGCAGGTTGAGCAATCCAACACAGAGTTGCAGCGGCCCAGCGCCTCCTTCTGCGACACGAGGATTGAGTCTAGCGCGGCGGTATCGACGTGCCTGGCTTTGGTTTCCAAGTCTTCGAGGAGGATGACCATGATGCTCAAACACCGGCAATTATCTTGCATGACAGTTGCCGGGCCATCCTTATTTAGGTGAACTTTGCTGGATGGGGTTGCTGGACGTGCCTGTGGTGTCGACTGTGGACTTGGTAGACCGTCGGAAAAAGAATGTAGTGGCGATAAAGGTGATCGGGAGACATAAGAGTTCAAGTCGAAGTCGGACGGCGATGGGAGTAATTGAGCCTGCTCGAAGACCGAAGAAATATCTGTGGGAACTTAGTGAATTGTCATTGTCTGAGTCGTAAGTACATACCTGACAGGGAGTCTACAGGCGTGCTTTCAAGAGATTCGCAGTGACTGGCGAAGTAGAAGTCTGGATCAAAGTCTTGTTGGGATGGCAGAGTCGAGATGTAGTTGCTGTCTAGATAGTCGTCGATAGTTCGGCCATCGAAACCCGGCAGCATGTCGCTCTGAATAAGACCAGGTGTAGGGATATCATTCTCCAAACTATTAACCGGCATGAAGCTTCCCATAGTATCATCTGCAAAGTCCTCCATCTTTTGTGTGAATTCGGCGGGCGCTGGTTGTTGAGGCTTATTTGCGGTAGATGGTTTCGCGGCATCCAGGGCAGAGTCTCCTATGTTGAAGCCTTTATCCTTGGTAACGTTGCGTTTTCGACGTCCCCGGCCTTTGCCTTGCAAAGAATACACGCATTCACTTGAGGTCCGTAGGCATCGTTCACAGCCATCTCGTCGGCCACCGCATCTTTGCTACAGGCACAGGAATGGTCAGCCAATCAAACATGGGCGACAATGGCGCGCATACGAACCTTCTTCGCTCGGCACTTGTCACATGCGGAGTAGCGGGGTCTTTGCCCTTCACCTTTACCGTTCAGAGGATCCGTGGTTCGCTCAATAAAATGGGTATCGTCGTTCTGAGCATCGTAGCGCAAGGTTCCGAACATTGCGTCATAAAGAGTAGATATATAGGTAGACAACAAGACTTGTAAGGGATCGCAGCCTTGTGAAGGTAGGAAACAATAATTGTGAGGGTTCGCAGCCTAATAAGGCGCTTCAAGAGACGGGAAACCTGACGGGAAAATGTAATGCTGACAGTTCCCGTAGCTACCACCGACTCATCAACTTCGGGCCTCATCCCTACGGATGCATGATTAGAAGCCTTGGACACTAATCCCATGTTCGGTTAGAGTCCTTGCGCACACCACGGGTCCTGCTCCGCCTCATGAAGCCAATCACAATTACAGAGGGCGAACGAATTGCTTGCCGATGCTGAAGAGCGTGCACCATCAATCAACCCTGGTAAGATTGTAAAGGTTGCCTCGACCATGCAGCTTCACGAAGTCGATCGGGGGTCCAATGCCATCGAAAGATGGAGGAAGATGGAGGGTACGGCCGGACCCTGCGTACCCCATAACCCGTTGGATTTCTACACCGTTGCTCACCGCAAGTATAGAAGGATCAAAGGTTAGGAATCTTGGCTTATCTCATGGCCAATGGTAAGGTCATTGACTAAAGCGATCCACGGGACACTATTGAGCTGACAGTGAATGGAATTCGGATTCGCTTCGTGGTCCGATATTCGCCTATCAATCGCACTAGTATCTACAGGGCTAGTCTATGGACATGGCCGAAATCTTATGGCTGAACGTACTTGGATAGCTAAATATGTGCCTGGGAACAAATCAAGTCCCTACTTGTCCTTCCATTGCGCCTCTATCATTCATGTTTACATCGACCAAGATTGTCGAAAGAAGGAAAGAAAGAAATGGGGTGTAGCGCTAGGGCGAAACCCGCGACAGGATACGCTAAGAAAGCTTGAAAGCGCCCGCAGCGGGCCTGACAACGGCCCCAGTTGGCCCCCGGGATGCCTCCCGTTGGTTTATGGTGGGCTACAATATGATCTGTGCGTCTGCTGAAAATTAAGGTCTGGACCAAGGAGACCGACTTCGCCAACTACTTTATCTCATACTCTCACTCTTCCTACCTTTCCCGAGCCTGGCACCGCGAATCATTCTCGGGATCTTCTCGCGAGCCAAGGGACAACCCACTTTATTCAGTTGGCGCTTACTCGTTTCCACCCCCATTTGCACGTTACCCCCATTTGCACGCTCTTAAATCCGATAAATCCGACATAGATAGCTACCACTACCATGGCTACCACTACCACTCATTCAAATAGCCTACCACCATAGTCTACCATAATGGCCAATGCTACGGTACCATAGTCGCCATCTGTAGGCCTGGCAT